GCATTTTTGGTCAAAAATACCTTAAATAATCCTCCAAAAAAATTAAAGGGGATTCAAAGCCTTTTTTGTTAGAAATACCTTGAATAAACTCATTCAATTTTTTGTAAGAGATTATTCAAGGCATTTTCTAGTCAAAAACATCTTGAATAATCCAAAAAAATGATAGAGGATTATTAAAGGTATTTTTTACAGAAAATACCTTGAATAATCCCCCAAAAAATAGAAAGAGAATATTCTAGGTGTTTGGGCTAGCCTTTTTGGTCAAAAACGCCTTAAATAATCTTCTTTCATTTTTTATAAGGGACTATTCAAGGTTTTTTTCTGATAAAAAACACATTGAATAATAAAAAAAATGAAAAGGGATTATTTAAGGCATTTTTGAAAAAAAATGCTTTGACTAATCCTTTCAATTTTTAGTAAGGGATTATTTAAAGTATTTTTTGGCAAAAAAATACCTTAAATAATCTCTAAAAAAAATGAAAGGGATTTTTCAAGGTATTTTTAACCAAAAACACTTTAAATAATCCTTAAAAAAATTGAAAGAGATTATTGAAGGTATTTTTAATAAAAAAAATACCTTTAATAATCACATTTTTCTATTGCTAAATTTTTCATAAATTTCAAAAACATAAGACCCCCTTTTTGTTTTTTTTTTCTCTTACTTATTTCTTTCATTTTTGCTCATTTTGGGTTACTTTTTTCTCATTTCTACTTAAGTTTCAATCATTTTATGGTCAATTTTCATCTTATTTCCTTTCATTTTTACAAATTTTAAATTAGTTTTCTTGTATTTTGGGTCAAATTCTTAAACTTTTTGTCTAATTTGTTGCATTTCTATCTTCATTTAATCTCTATTGGTAAACTCCATTTCAACATTGACAATTTTTAATGTTTGATCATTCTTTTTCTTTTTTTACCAATTTATTTCATTATCGCAGTTTTGAGTTTGGTTTTATTTAATTGGTGAGAAAAATTTAAGATAGAACAGAAAGTGAAAGAAATAAGATTTTTCTCTGAAAAACTTGAAATTGAATGTTAAATTTAGTTACAAATACAAATAAAATTTTAGGTTTAGTTTTTTTTCAACATAATATTTTTTAAATTACTAAAAAATTGTTACTTGTTAACATGAATTTGTTGATTCATTCAAGATATCCTTAGAAAACCATTATGAAATAATCTATTATGTTTTTTTCATCTCGTCTTGGCATTTGTTTTGTTTGTTTTTTCATATCATGGTATTTGACGAAACGACTAAATCTTGCTTGAAATGATTCGTTGTGCATGAAAACCATCAATAACAGAAGATGGTAGTGACCAAGGTGAAAAAAATCTTTTATCAAATGGTAATGTTCCAAATCTATGCAATCATCAATTTCATATATTTAAAATTTTTGGTTAATGTTCTAAAATAATTTGAATGTTATTGCATGTATTAAACTTTGTATTCCATCCATATTGGAATAAATTATATATTTATAATATTTAGTTTATGAATTTAAGTTCATTTTTATTTCTTTTAATATTTTTTATTTAATAATAATAATCAATATTAAAATAAAATTTTAAAAAATAAATTTCTTAATTTAGCAGCATTTATACCTAAAAATGCCTTTAAATGCCAAATGTAGTAGTACTTTCTACTATAAATGTTATTAAATTTAGTGATATTTTTTACTATAAACGTCACTAAATTTAATGATATTTTATAATAAAAATGTTATTAAATTAATGACGTTTTATTATAAAAACGTCATTAAGTTAGTGGCATTTTATCATAAAAATACTGCTAAGTTAATGGTATTTTTTTAAAAACATCGTTATATTTTCTGATGTAAGTATAGACAGCACTTTTAGCAGTAGTTTTGGTAAATACTGCTAATTTTTTAATGACGTTTATAAATATCATTAAATGTAAAAAAAAAAAAAAAAACCACTAAAAACTTAATCCCTTGTGATGCTTCTTGAACATTTAGGCATTTTGGGATCCTCCATATTTTTTTTATAGGACTTTCTTCATGGCCATTACATTAATCCCTTTTTCGGAAGGCTTTTACCCAATAGATAGTTTTTCCCTGCTTCTAAAGTGGGTGCCACCCATTCCTTATTAATCTTAACCTCTTGTAATTCTTCCTCCACATTTCCTCAAGGCTCTCCATCACGACTACTTTACAAGAAAAACTATTTTCAAAGAATAATACTACTCCATAAGTTGATCTCACCGAAAAAGAACAAAAGGAAAAACTTACTAAACAAAACAAAACTCCCACTAAAAACCCTAGGCAGAAAACCTAAGGGGATAACCTAGGAGAGACATCCCATCAAATGAATTTTTAGTCGAGGACTTAAGTCGTCAAATAGAAATTTGAAGGTTGGGTAAAAATATCAACTTTGTTCTCTCTTAGTAAAGATTAAATTTTAATTATTTGAATTTAGAATTTAATTTAATTATTTATATAATCATTTTAAAAAATAATTTTAATAATTTTAAATTTTAATATTTATAATTTTTTTTATAAAAAAAGTAATTGTTTTTGATCGCAAGAAAAAAAATACTAAGTTGTAGTTGTTGGAGATATTTTGGCCACGTTAATAATTGATTTTTAAATTAATAATTTTTTTGTTAAAAAAAAAAAGAGCTAATTGTCCTCCATCACAAGAAAAAGAAAAGTTGCAGTCATTTGAGACATTTGGTTATGTTAACAATAATTAGTACTAGGTTTGATAGAAGAAGAACAATCATGACCGCCCATATGGTTTGATGATTGAAAAAACCCTTACTTCGCACGCATTAACGTGGGTGGCTACTTCCATCAGCAAACATATGAAGAGTAATCTCTAGTAAACTAATTGCTGCTACACCTGTCATTGACTGAGGTTAAGATAAGATTTTTTTAAGTTCAAGTTTGATTGGACCCTGAGAATATTTTATTTTTAAATAATTATTTTTTATTAAAATTTAAAATATATTTAAAACATTAAAATATAATTTTTTAATATTTTAGTAATAAATTATATTAAACGAACTTAAATAGATTTTAATGGACAAATCGAACTGAGTCGAGGCTTGGATAAATTTTAAAGTATCAAACGCTTGACTTGGCCCTGTATTTGATTCCAATTTTTTGGGTTAGTTTGATTAGAACAAATAGCAACAGAAATAGTTTCTTTTTTTTTTTGCTTACCTCAACATTGTACTACTGTGTATAAATAAATATATATATATATATATATATATTATATGGAAAACTATCTTCTTCACCTAGTAGACTACCAATAAGAGTTGATTAGTTGAATCCAAAATCACTGGTGCTAAAAAACATATGAAAAAATTGAAAATTGATTTGATCATAATGTTAGATTTAATGTTTTGATATTTTAGTGCATTTAATTTAGTTTTAATCAATATTGTTAATTTCACTTCAATACTAATCGTATTAATTGGTACACTCATAATATAATATATTAAAAAATAATTTTTTGCACCAAATTTAATATAAGACAATACCAATGATTTCCATTGATTTCATTTAATTTCAATAAATTAATTTATTTTTGATGAATATGAAATATATTTTATTATTTTTAATTTTTTTTATTGTTTGATTATTTTTAATCTAATAAAAATAAACTAAATAATAAAATAGTTCTTGAAAGTTGGTTTTTTCTATTTTTTCCTGCAATTTGTTTTCATTTATACTTTATTTTTTTTCAAGTCAAAGTTTATAAATATTTTCAATCTCCTTTAAAAAAGCAATCGTGCTTCTTTTTTAAAATTTTAATAATCATACAATCAAAGTTTTTTTTATCTCTTTGTTTTATCTTAATATTTATATAAAAAATATTTATTTAAATATTATATGATTTTAAAAATATCATAATAAATTGATAATATTATTTCTTATACTTTTAAATTTATTTGTTTAGTTTTTGAAGATATTACATATTTATTTTATAAATTATTAGTAATATTATTATGTATAAATTCCTATATATTTACAAATATATTTGTACTAAATTAAAAATTTTGAAATAATATATCAAAACAATTTATATCCATATATACTATTTTTTTATTAAAAAAATTGAAATATTATTTGATACGATATTAATAATCTTTAATTCGATTCAAATAATAAATATTATTATTTGGTTTTGTTCAATTTTCAATTAGTAGTTGAAAAGTCAAAATTGTTTAAAATGAATCAAATTATATGATTTTTTATTTTTTATAAAATAAAATTTGAATATTTTATTTCAAAATTTATGCAAATTAAAAATAACATAAAATATCTTTAAAATTTTAAAAAACAACAAACCTTTTTGAACATATGAAATTTGATTTAGGTTGGCTCGATTAGAAAAAAGCAATTTGATTCAATTTTGGTTCGACTTTTGACAAATGAAAATATTGCATATTAACCATAATATTTGTTCAAAATTAAATCGAATTCGAACTCTAATCAACTCTCATAATTACTTATTGTAAAAGCAAATAATTTTATTTTACCAATTGACTCAATATAAGAGTGATATTGTTCATCAATTTAACTTTTAAAAAAAATAAAAATGTTTTAGAAAGTAAAATATAAGGAAACTTTAAAATTTTGAAATTAGTATTTGATTTTAGAAAGTGAACAAATAAAAAAAGAATTAAGGATAGAGAGAATTGAACAGAAGGTGTCGAAGTTGAAAAATGGAATACTTGTTGTCATTAAGCATTACTGTGAGAGGACTAAACTAAGAGTAAGGGATGAAAAAGCACTACTATTATTCCTAGAATGCTTGCTACATGCCTCTTTTATATTAACTGTGTAAAATATAAAATTTATTGCATCATAATATATATACATCAAATATAAAACAAATATTTTTTTAAAATTTATATATAATTTTTATTAAAATTTTAAATCACATCATTTTTAAATTTTTTATCATTTTAATTTTTTTTATTACAGTTTAGAATTATGTACATTTTACTGCCAAGCCATTGACAAACTTTTTCATTCAACTGCACTCAACTTTTTGTTTTTGGGTGAAATACTGAAATCATTTTACCAACTTTAACAACTTCTTAATTAGAACCATGTCCCACTCCCTTCCTACTCAAGCTTGGGAAAAGTTACTTTGGATACCTTGAGCTAGCGATTCTTATGCTACCATAAATTGAATCCTCTGCCAAAGAGAATAGCTACATCCTCTTAATTTTGATTTGAAGACATTGGTGCATCAACAAGATTCATTTTCATAAGGATTGAAGCTCATGTGATTGGCCGAGCTCAGGATCCAAAAGAACTAGGGGATCCAGTAGAAAGGTTTGGGTGTTAAAAGCCCAAGTTTACCTTATTTAGTTCATACAACTACCATTAAAATGTAAAATCTAATAGGTTTGAAATTAAAATTTTAACACCTGTAATTTCTTCTCTTATTCTCAAACTAAGACCTTATTTGTGAAAAACTTGAAGTTGTTAGGTGGGTAGTAAGTACTGATATTGAAAAATTCTTATAATTCTACAGGATTTTGCGTTAGTCGTGGTGAAGAAGCGTGTTTGAATGAATCAATGATCTGAAAAGGTTTAAATTATTCAAGATAATAAGCTCATTAGCATGCAAAGCCGAAAATGTAAATAACTCTGACCATCAAAACTTTGTCCCAAAAATGGTCAGGATTGAAGTCTAATTCAAACTTACACACAAACAAATTCTAGAATATACAAAAACTGAAGGAGCAGATTCCCGGGGAAATGGTCAAGATAACCACTTTGTTTCCAAAGAAACAAATAAAAACTGCCAATGATCTTTAAAATTCCCCTGTACATTACACATTGATTATGATATCATTTGTTCACATTTCAAAATAAGCCAAAATATGTTCCAAAAGAATCGCAATAGTCATCTCATTTTCATTAACCACACTCTTACCATTTCCTTGATAATAAAGTTGAAAGAGATGATCCCAAACAAAATTTCTTCATTTATCTGTTTGTTTTTCAGAAAGTAATATACACCAACCAAATCGAGCAGAATAGCAAATCAAATCAAAACCTAGTATTTGGTATTGTGTTGCCTCACTCTTCTCTCCTTGATTGAATACTCCATCTCCTGATAACTTCTAACAATATCTGATTCCAAGTATCTATAGGACCTGGCAGACACCAATGCACACAATCATTCTGTACGCGCTCTTGAACCTCATTAGCAAATGGAAATGGATACATGTAAGGTCCTGGATGACCATCCGGCCTCATTAATGATAATTTGGTCACATCCAACATCTCTAGCCTCAACCCTCCAAACTGCTTAGCATTTACCTTGGCGGTTTCCATTTCTTCAACCTCAATTGCTCTCATATCTGCATCCATTCCTTCAAGCATCTTCTCTCCCTCCTTATAAGGTTTTGTTTTGGGACAAGCACCAGCCTGATCCCATTCACCTTCAAAATGTGAAGGTGAAAATGTTGTTAGAAGCACATCAATTCCATTACCATTAGCCCCTTTCCTTTCAATTATTGTCTCAAGTGCAGTCTTTATGGCCTTCCTCATCACACCATAAAATCCTATTTCAGTGTGATTTAGTCCAGGGCAGTAATGGCAACCTAATATCGAACCACCCTCATAATAAACTGCTGGATGAAGAAACCAATGCCCTGTTGAGAGTACAATCATATCTATATGGTCCAAATCGGCTCCCCATCTCGCATCAACAGTGTCCACAAACAATTCATTATGATCTGGACCAGTTTTTGATTTCTCAACACCTCTAACCAGAAATGGAGACCAATAAACTGATATAGTAATGTTATAAGAAGCAAAATGCCATCTACGAAACTTGGTATCCACCCCATCTTTATAAACCAGGTTAGGATAGGAGGCAGTGGCTAGCATGCAAAGAAGTGATTCCAATTGGTTCCTAGCCATGGAGTCACCAACAAAAGCTATATGTTTGTTACTAAGGAGGTGGAAGAAAGTGTTGGGATCAAACCTTGGGAGCTTGCATTGGCTTGGTTGCCATCTCCAATAAAGGTAACCCAAGTCAGGTCTCCCATGAGAGATGCAATTTTGACCGTCCTTAATTGTACCGCAGGTTGTGCCGTTGTACAAAGGCCCCATCTTGTCGTGTACCCATCCGCCATTGGCATAGTCACATGGAGTTTCATTAGCTATTTCCTCTTCTGCAAATAAGGAAAAAAAAATTTGTTAAGCAATAAACCATAACTCAGAAAAGGATAAAAATTCTGACAACTATTCTTTTTTACTCAGTGTACCTTTGGAGAAAGATAAAGGAGGAGAAGAAGAAGAAGAAGAAGATGTGGTGAGGATGATGCGACTGTTGTGGGAGAGCTGATCTGTGGTAGATTGAGGGAAAGGAAAAGGGTGAAAGTACAAGCGAAAGAGAGCAATGGGGAGGAGAGCATAAAGAGCATAAGGCAAGAACTTGGTGAATGAATGAGAGTGAGATTGGCCTTTCAGTGGACTTGTTACAACCATACTTGATAGAGAACACTTGTTATCTCAAGTCTCAACTGGTTATGATCCTCCTCTTTTCCTCTGTTTTCTCGGTTTATTCTGGCTTTGGCTCAGAATTCTAGCCTCAAAACACTGTGGAAGTTACAAAATCAAAATGTGGCCAGAAGAGAGAGAGAGGAGGAAGCTTATTATGCTTTGCAGGGCGTTTCAGTCAAAGTGACATAAAGAATCTAATTTATCTATGTGAGTTGGCCAACTAATCCAGCGGAAAATTATTGTTTATCTTAACCCTATTAAAACAACATGCGCCGCTCTCTCAACTCCGTATTCCATCGCTCTTTGCTTCTTCCATTTCCAACTTTTAAATTTATTTATTTTACGGATACAGGTTTGGCATTTTTCTTGTCGAGTGGACATTAATGCCTGCCCCTTGCTTTTGTTTGTGTTATAGTTGTCTTGCTCATAATTGAACTTGTCAAAAGCCAAAATCACCGTATCTATAAAGGCAAATTATTTGATATATAAGGGTAAACATGTCTTTTTAAAACAAGAATTCTAAAATCTTATATTATTATGTTAACAATTGAAAATTTTCCTGAAAAGCAGTCTTTTTATGAATTAGTAGACGGCTGAAAGTTGTGCAAGCAATTAGTGCTTAAGGTCTGACAATAACTGGTCTAATGAACTAGTCCTGATCTACGTAAACCAATATGATTGGTGTTTAGAGAAATGGGTAAAAGGTTGACCATTTTCTTTTTTACACAGGAAGAGCTAATCAAAAGATTTGAAGCTGAACTAATTAAATTTTTTTAATGTTTTAGAAACTTTAAGTGATAATATTATTAAGCATAGATGGCAAGTTGACTAAATTTCGAGTTTGGGTAATGGGGAAGAGCTTTCAGTCAGAGGAAAACTGTGAACAATTTGACGCCGTTGATCATTAAATGTATTCCCATGACAAAGATATTGGCTTTGAAATCTCTGTTTTTTGCATGGATCTGATGATCTGGGTGTTGCTTTAGCTTCACAGTAACATAAGGGCAAACAAACATTTATGATTTAGTAATTCATACACATCGAATCAACACGTTTTTCTATTATTTCCTCTTATTTTTCTATCGTTGTAGCTATCAGCCACCGACACGGAACAAAAGGTTATGCTTTAGCCACCGACACAATAACAAAATTAATAGCTTCCTTTTTTTTTTTTCCGATTCTACTCGTGATCGATATTTCATGATGGCATTGGAACAAATTTAATAAATAATCCATCAAAGGGGTCTCTGAGTATTCGGTTATTGAAAAAAAAAAAGTTACTCTACAAGTTGATATACAAGTTGATATGTAAATAAAAATTAATAACAAGGGAATTCAACTCCCAACTCGAAGGCATCCAAGTTTTTTTGAATTAGTCTACTCGCATGTTTTAACACAGTTTCTCGTGCATATTCAATACTGGCTGCAAAACAATTGCTTAGAAACATGAGCTTGAAGATGGCAAAACAGAATAAAAAAAAAAAAAAACGAAGAAAAATAAGCATGAATAGGGAGGCTTTAGAACTTTAGTTAAAAATGATAATAATTCAATTTTAATTAATTTTTTTAAATATAATATAATATTATAAAATTTTAAAATTAAATTTAAATTTAAATCAAATATTTATTTGATTTGATTCAAATTTTTTCAGTTTGTTTGATTTGATTTATTTATTTTTAATTTTTTAATATTTTATATATTATTTTAATATATTTAAATAGATTTTGAAATAAAATTATTTTTTTAATTTTATAAAAATTTAAAATATATATAAAACTAAAAAATATATAATTCAAATTTGTTATTTTTTTTCACTTTTTAATTTAAAATCTTATTCAAATTTAATATATACATTTAATATCTAAATTTAATTTAAATTAAATTAAAAAAAATCAATCTAAATTAAATTAAATATTATGATTTTAAATTAATTTTTTTATTTTTTATTTTTTTTTTCATCACGGGAAATGAATATCCCACCTGGAGGAGTGGTGGTGACCAGCTAAGCTCTCCGAATAGAAAATGATAAATATTGAAGGGACCACCCTGCACGTATAGGTTCCCAATAGAAAAAAGTTGCCCCACCTCCATTGTCCTGAATCATAAAGGACCTTTACATGTATCGCAGGCCACAGCTCCCGGTGTCACAACGGACGCGAGACATCCTTGCTTGCTACCAAGTTGAAAACTCCATTGAAAGCAATAAAACCCTAACAATAGACTTTGTTTTTAATATGGCTTTCTCCCCAAGTTTTAAACAAAGTTAATATGAGAGGGACATTGGTAGAAATTGAGAGGCATATCAGTAATAAATGATCCCAATATCAGCCATTTCTGGATCTGAATTTTTTTTTTCTTTTTTTCAAAATAGGGTTTCCTAACACTTATCTAGGAGTTCAAGTTTTTCCTAGCTGAAGTCCATTGCGGAACAAAATGAGTGCGGCTTCACTAATTACAACGAGCAGGGTAGGGTAAAATATCATCCCCGTGCTTGTAGAATTGCAAAATTTGTGTTCATCCCATTAGGTACAAATAGACCTATTAATTCTGATTTGAATTCGAAAATTTTGTTTAACTCATTCAAATTAGAATTTGTCCAATTCAATTTGATCATAAAAGGTCAATAATTCAAATCCGTCTCACTTAGAACTGAAATAACTTGAATCCAAATTAATTAGAACTTAAAATGAATTGAAATCAAAATGACCTAAAATTAAATTGGCCTGAAAAATTAAACAAAAATAATCCAAAGCTAAATTAAGTATAATTTTATTTAAAAATATTAATTTAATAAAAATAATAAATATAACATAAAAAAATATAATATAACACAAATGAAAATTTATTAAAATTATTGATAATAACAAATTAATATATATTTTTTAATATCAAACTATATGTATGTTATGTTATAAAATTTCTTATATTTTATAATATGATTTAAAATAAATTATATATTTTTAATTAAAATGGTATTCATATCAATGTATCATTTAAAATAAATTATATAATCTCTTATGATTATGCATGGGTATTAACTATCATGTGATTTACAATAAAGTATATAAAAATCTCTCATAATTACACATAGGTATCAAATATCATGTGATTTAAAATAAAATATATAAAACAAGTTATTGATTTGTGTATATATATATATATATATATATTATGTTTATGCTATAATCATGTTATTAATTTATAATCATATAATTTAGAATAAATTTTATAATGAGTTATAATTATACTAAGATAATTATTTATATATATATTGTAGTTATATTATTAATATAAAAAATAATGCAATGTGTATCATAATTAAATATTTAAAATAATTTTTATATGATAGTTGTATATTATAATTAAAAGTTTTAAAAAAGTTTTTTATTTTATATTAAATTGAAATAAATATAAAAAAACTATTAAACATGACAAACATATTTTGTGAGTCTTACATGTACTTGTATGATACAATTTAATTATATATATATTTATATTTATTTTACATGTGTTAAAATTTGTATCAATATGACTAATTATGAAATATATTTTAAAAAAAAAAACTCATACGATTTTTTTAATATCATTTTAGTGTCAAAATCATTTTATCATATTTAAATTTATCAAATCTAATAAAATCACAAAATTTTATTTATATAAAAATTAATTTTAATTTAAAACATACATACTATAATATTTATATTTAATTTTAAAATAATTTTTTTTTATCTTTTAAAAATTATAATAAATTTAATTCGAATTCGATCAAATAATATATTTTAATTTAATTTTAAAATTTAATAAATTAAATCCGAAGTGATTCAAAAGGATCAAAATCCAAATAATTTAAATGTCAAATCCACATATAAAATGACCTAAACAAAATATCATCCAAAACTAAAATAAATCAACCTAATCCGACCTGTCAATTGACAGGTGTAGCTACAAATCAAAATAACATGAATATGTATCCCTTATACCAATGCATGTAGAAGCAAAAGAACGAGTTTTTTATGAAACGGAAACTTCATTACTTCAAGAAACATCGAGGTTACAAATGGAATCAGGAAGTGACCACCAAAACCCCTAATTAACTTATCCCTATTACACTTCTAATTAGTTTATGAATCTTACTTTTAAATATAAAATTTACAATATGTTGGAAGTTTAAGAATGTAGTTAATCAGTAATTTGCCTACTTAATTATATTATTTCTATATGTTTTGGAACTACATACCTAACTTGTATTTCATCAGATAATTTATTGTGAACTCTTACTCCACTAATCATAAAGCTAATGGGTTTAAACAACCATTATAAAATATTTTTTATATACTAACGGTTAATTACATTGATAATCAAATTTCGTCAGTAAAAGAGATTTTTACTTATAAATTTTTAATATCGTCAGAATACACCATATTTATACCAATATTTTATTTAACTATCGGTATAAATAAATTTTTTTTAACGATATAAGATTATCCATTAGTATAAATATGTTATATACTGATAGTTATTAACGTAACCGTCAGTATAGGCTCAAAATAAAAAAAATTATTGGCTTACAAAAAATTGAATGGGATAATTGAAGGCATTTGTGATAAAAAAACATCTTCAATAATCTATTTAAAAAATTTTGAAGAAGGATTATTAAAAGTATTTTTGGCCTAAAATACCTTCAATAATCTATAAAAAAAAAATGTTGTATGGATTATTTACTGACAGTTAAATTCAGTCAGTAAAAGAGACTTTTATTGATAAATTTTTAATACCGTCAGAATATACTATACTTATACGAATATTTTATCTAACCATTAGTATAGATAAACTTTTTCTAATGGTATATGACTATTCATTCATATAAATATGTATTATACTGACGATTATTAACGTGATCACTAGTATAGGCTCAAAACAAAAAACTAATGGTTTACAAAAAAATTGAATAGGATTATTAAAGGCATTTTTGACAAAAATGCCTTCAATAATCCATTCAAAAATTTTGGAGGGAATACTGAAGGCATTTTCGATCAAAAATGAATTCAATAATCCATACAAAAAATTTTAAAAGAAATTATTGAAGGCATTTTTTTCCAAAAATGCTTCAATAATTCATACAAAATTTTTTTGAGGGGATTATTAAAGATATTTTTGGTCAAAAACACATTCAATAATCCTTTATAAAAATTTATTGAGAGGATTATTGATGATATTTTTAGCCAAAAACACTTTCAATAATCCTCTTAACAAAATTTGAAAAGGATTATTGAAGGCATTTTTGACCAAAAACATCTTTAATAATCTCCTAAAAAAATTTGAAAGGGATTATTGAAGGCGTTTTTAGTCAAAAACACCTTCAATAATCCTTTTGAAAAAATTTTAGAATGGACTATTAA